AATCTTGGACAAACTTGATGATAGAGTATATCCAGAGGAGAAGAACCAGGTGATGATACAGAAAAGCAAGAAAAACAACCGGACACTGAATTTTAACTTGGGGAGACAACAATTTCTTCATAGCTATTTTATAAGAGCCCAAAACCTGTGAGACAGGCACAAAGTGTCTGAATCTCAGCTTTGCTAGCTTTGTAATTTGGGGCACATTCCTAACTCTTGTGAATAGCAGTTTTCTCATCTGTAAACTGGGCCTAAGAATACCTAACCTGTATAGCTGACGAAAGAATTATATAAGCTAATGCCTGTCAAGCCCTTAGCATAGATCCTAATATATAGGAAGTGTTCTAAAGTGGCACCTATTATAGCGACCATATTCAAAGATGTAAACAATTTGACCTAAGCTAATGTAAAGTAATGGTTAAATTATAGACCATGAAATATTCTACAGCCATTAGAAATTATTTTGCCAGGCAGAGCATGCCTAAACATCTCTGTTCCACCTGCAGACACAGAACTGGGCTTGTCTCCCTCTCCTTTTCTCCTTTGTTGCTAGCCAGGGGCTCAGCCTGCTTCAGATCCTCTTTGGTGCCACCTTCATCATGCCCTGGTACTTCTCTCTCCCCAAGCCTCAGTGGAATACAACACTGACACCCTTATTGCTCACAAAGTCAAGACCCGTTTGAATAAGTGATACTTGGGCATGTTAAAAAGTAGAACATTAGGGGCACCTGGGTGGCTCAGTCGGTTAAGCGTCTGACCCTTGATTTCCGCTCAGATCATGATCTCAAGGTTGTGAGATAGAGCCCCATGTGGGCTCTGTGCTGGGTGTGGAACCTGCCTAAGATTCACTCTCTCCCTCTCCCTGTGGCCCTCCCCACCCCCCTGCTTGTGTGCATGCTCTCTCTCTCTCTCTAAAAAAGAAAAAAAATAGAACACTAAATAAGAAGGTACATATTGACAAGTCTTGCTTCCTCTCCTGTCTGTCCACTCCTCACCCCTAACATCTCCACTTTGTGATACAAAAGGTAACATACTAAACACTGATCCGCAGCTTACTTTTTTCCCTATTTAGTTATCCTGGAGATTTTCCATATCATTTCAGAGAAAGGATCCTCATTCTTTTTGACAATGGCATAGTCTTCCAGTGGGAATGTACCTTGATTTATTTTAGTCCCTTATAGATGGAAGTTGTTTGTAATCTTTTGCTATTACTATAAATCAGGTTACAATTAGTAATCTCATTGACACACATACAGATATATCTGTGGGATACATTTCTTGAAGTGGGATTTCCAGCTCAAAGGCTAAATTTATTTGCAATTTTTGGTATTGTCAAATTACCCTTCAAACGGTTATAGCACTCTGCCCTCCCATTAGCAATGGTTAAAAGGGCCTATTTTCTCACAGCCCAGCAAGAGAGTGTGCTAGCTTAGTTAATCTCTTTTAATTCTAATAATTTTTAGTGATAACCCTTTTTAAGGACTCAGATGAGAAATAACTGGGAAAGTACAGTGCTTAAAAAGTCTTGCAAAGGAATCATTGAGGGATGGTAAAATTAGCAGGTGAAAGTTTGATGAAAATGTATTTACATACTCTAAAGGTATCTGCCCACAAGACATTTATTTAATAAAAAAGAGAAAATTGCACATTTTACAGCAGAGGAAAAAAACTTAGCAGACACCATCCTAACCAAGTGATCAAAGTTATTAACGTCACACCAGTAATGGAACAAATTGACATCATGTGTCTCCTGATATGATGCACTGGGAAGGACACGATATTACTTCTGTAGTATGCTTGCCCCCTAAGAAGTATAACTTGAATCTAACCCTGAGGAAGCCTTAGACATACTCAGATTGAGAGACATTCTTCAAAAATAACTGGCTTGGGGGTGCCTGGCCGGCTTAGTCAATGGAGCATGCGACTCTTGATCTCAGGGTTGTGAGTTCAAGCCCCGCATTGGGCATGGAGCCTACTTGGGAAAAAAAAAGGAAAAAAATAACTGCCTTATACTCTTAAAAAAATGACAAAAGAGAGCAACTTTTTCAAACCAGAAGACACTAGAGACATGACACCCTTTCAGCTGGATCCACCGTCTTCCAGTAATTTGCCAAAAGGACCAACACAAAGGGAAAGAGGAGAGTCACCTGCTGCAGGTTCTGTAGGCCTTTTAGGAAACATGGGGTTGTTCCTTTGGCCACATACATACAAATCCACAAGAAAGATGATATTGTAGACGTCAAGGTGATGGGCACTGTGCTAAAAGGAATGCCCCGTGAGTATTAACATGACAAAACCGGAAAAGTCAACAGTGTTACCCAGGATGCTGTTGGCATTACTGTAGACAAGTTAAGGGCAAGATTCTGCCAAGAGAATTAATGTGCATGTTGAGCATATTAAGCATTCTAAGAGCTGAGATAGCTTCGTGAGGCATGTGAAGGAAAATCATCAGAAAAAGAAGCCAGAGAGAATCAACTGAAGCACCAGCCTGCCTCATCCAAAGAAGCACATGTGAGAACCAACTGAAAGGAGCCTGTGCTGATGGAACCCATTCCCTATGAACTCATGGCATGATAGGTGTAGGAAATATGAAAGACCTCTGGACTGTAAACAAAAAGAGAGAGAGGGAGACATGACAATTAAATGCAATGTGTGATCCTAGAAAAGGAAAAAAAAAGCAGGAGGGGGCACTAAATCAATGTTTCCCAAAGTGTGGTCCAGGAGCCCCAGGAAGTCCCCAGGACTCCTTCATGTATGCATGAAGTTAAACTTATCTTTAATAATACTTAGATATTATTTAGCAAGATTACAAAGGGATCCTGAGGGCAAAAAATTTCAGAACCGCTGCTATAAAGAACATTAGTGAGACAACTGGCAAACTTAGAATACAATTTCTAGATTTGTTTTTTTTAAAGATTTCATTTATCTTACAGATAGAGCAAGAGAGCACAAGCATTGGGAAGAGTAGAAGGAGAGGGAGAAGCAGGCTCCCTGCCGAGCAGAGAGCCTGATGCGGGGCTCGATCCCAGGACCCTGGGATCGTGACCTGAGCCGAAGGCAGACGCTTAACCATCTGAGCCACCCAGGCACCCCCAGTTTCTAGATTTGAATATAGTTCTGTATCGTTGTTGGTTTTCCTTACTTTGATCATTGTATCGTGGACATGTAAGGTCATGTCCTTGTTTTTAGGAACTTCACACTATTTAGGGATAAAGGGATATATCTGCAACTTACTCCCAAATAGTACAGAAAATAATATGTATTACATGAATATATATAATATATGAATTATACCTTTGAGTGTACCACTTTCAAAGAATCTTCAGTCACACAGAAGGAGGCATACTTATCCTGTGAATACTGTTGCAGCAATCCTTATGATACTCTCTTTGGCTATTTAGGAAGAGGAAAATATAAATAAACCTACGCTTTATCTCCATTAGTTTGAATTCATTTAATCTCCCCAATAATTAGAAGTAAAAATAACAATATAGACCAAGAAACAGGATTCGGTTTCTTTGCTTTAAAGAAGTATCTCAAGGGCACCTGGCTGGCTCAGTCCGTAGAGCGTGAGTCTTGATCTCAGGGTTGTGAGTTTAGTGTTGAATGTAGAGATTACTCAAAAATAAAGTCTTGGGGTGCCTGGGTGCCTCAGTCGTTAAAAGCGTCTGCCTTCGGCTCAGGTCATGATCCCAGGGTCCTGGGACTGAGTCCTGCATTGGGCTCCCTGCTCAGGGGGGAATCTGCTTCTCCCTCTCTCTCTGGTGCTCCCCCTGCTTGTGCTCTCTTCTCTTTGTCAAATAAATAAATAAAGTCTTTAAAAATAAATAAATAAATATTTCAGAAGTAGCATGTATGTTTTTTACCTACCCCATACTTTGTCTCCTGATCCCCCAGTGGGATCAATTCCTCCCCTGTGTGTCCTCATCTGGGTCGTGGACATGCGGGCCCTTAGAAGCCTGAAGGCAGTACTTTGTTTCAGAATACTCTCCCCTCCGACTGGATATTATGGACTCTCTCTCCCAAAAGAGAGCTGTGAAAGAGAGCATATTGCACTGAGCAAGAAAGCTAGAAATTTCTGGACATTCAATTTGGCTAGTTATATTCACCTATTTTCTTTTTTTTAAATTTTTTTTTAAAGATTTTATTTATTTATTTGAGAGAGAGAATGAGAGAGAGAGCATGAGAGGGGAGAGGGTCAGGGAGAAGCAGACTCCCTGCCGAGCAGGGAGCCCGATGCGGGACCCGATCCCGGGACTCCAGGATCATGACCTGAGCCGAAGGCAGTTGCTTAACCAACTGAGCCACCCAGGCGCCCCTATATTCACCTATTTTCTACCTCTTTGTTTGGTTAACTAAGAAAAAAAATCCTGAAGACAAAGTTCTCAGTTAGGCATTTTCTGACCAAGTTTGACTTTGAGAACATGTCCTCCTTTTCCTCTTCTATAAACATAAAGAAGAGAGTGAGGGAATATACCTAAGGGAGGTGGGCCTTGCCTTCGCCCGACCTGACTGAACTTTAAAACTTCTCTACTAGTTAAACAACACTGGGCTCTACACTTTGCTTAACCCTGGAAGCTGGTCATCAGCCTTTGACCGCAGTCTTCCGCTCGTCACCAGCTCCCTCCCCCACCTTCGCTTTTGGAACCTCCGTCAGATTCAGAGGCAAGAAGCAGTTTTCACAGGGATTGCCTCAGAACACACTATCTCCACTCTCTGCCCGGCCCTGTGGAAGATTAGCAACCATGTTTTCCAGTGGGATAGGAACTGTAGCTGCTGGAAAAAGGTAAGAGAGGCAAGTTTTCTCTTTGGCATGCCCTCATTGGTGTTGACCTTCAACGTTCTCCTAAGGATGGCTTCGACACCTTCGAGAAAACCAGGCCCTCTCCCTGGTAGTAACAGTAAAAGATGTGTTTGGAAGATGTCATTCCAAGCGCCCTCCCTCCCACCCCCTCTTGGGGTAAGCCACACCTTGGGTGCTTAGCCCAGGAAACAAAGGGGATATCTTCCCCTCCCCAGAGGTGCTGTGCAAGTGCCAGCCCTTACAGCAGCCCAGGAGACTCCAACGTGAATTCCCAGGCCTGCCAGACAGCGGAAAAGAGGGAAAATTTAATGGTGAGGATCTCCTAACTCCCTTTTTGCTTCTCTTTCCACTCAGTTGCCCCCGCTCCAAGAGCTCAGTGACCTTTGACTGAAGGACAGCAACCCTGTTCCCTTGCCTCACAGTCAGCCCCCCTCCTCCCTCGATACCATACACATTCCCTTCTCGACCTGGGTCGTTTGGGCAGGCTACAAGTGAGGCTGTGGCACCACCATCTTGGTTTTCCTTCCCCCTGTGAACAACGCTCCCGGATCCCCCTCAGCCTCCCAGTGTAGCTGAGGGACAAAGAGGGAAACCAAAGGCAAGCAAGACGGGGAGATGAACGGCAAGGTTCTCTCCGCTTCTTCACCCTGCCTTCTCTATCTCCCCGAGGGTCTCTGCTTCTCCCCACTCTGTGCCTCTGTTCTTAAAGGGCTGCAGAGCCGGCCTCCCCTCACACAAGGAGCCAAGTACCCCTCAGCTGCCCCCAGCTTCCAGCCAGCCCAACACTCGCCCGCACACCACCTCCGCAAGTCCTTTCCGCCCTGCGTGCGTATCTTTTTCTGCCAGGGGACAACTGAGAAGACTCAGTACCCACACGGACTCCCAAGTCAGCCAGAGGAAGCTCCTGGCCCACCCTGTCTTTGTACAAAAATATTACAAGTTTTTCTCCTGGTGTGCCTGAGCATTCCAGTTCTCCTAATTTGCCAGTAGCATGATCTCATTTTTTTAAAAAGTAAGATTAATTTCATTGGCTTTTAGTGAATCCATGTTGGAAGGATTAAAATTTCCAGGCAGAGAAATGATGAGGGCCTAAGGCTGTGAGAGAGCAGGACACAGAGCTCTTTGAATCCAGGGTCTGAAGACTGAGGGTGAAAGGGAGGAATCCGGGGAGAACTCCCGGTTTCTGGCTTGGATGTCAGCCGGCAGGAGGCTCCCATTTGCTGAGCTGGAGGACAGAGGAGGAGAAGCAGTGGGTGGGGGAGACTTACAAGGACAATCTGGTCGTATTTCCCTAAGGAAGCTTCAGGCTGCCCAGGTGGAATTATCTGGCCCCCGCTGGGAGGGTGGGGTCAGGCTGGAACTGGAGGCCTGCGGAGGCTTCGGCCTGTTCACCCCTTCTTTTTCTTTTTTTTAAAGATTTTATTTATTTATTTGACAGAGAGAGACACACAACAAGAGAGGGAACACAAGCAGGGGGAGTGGGAGAGGGAGAAGCAGGCTTCCCGCGGAGCAGGGTGCCCGATGTGGGGCTCGATCCCAGGACCCTGGGATCATGACCTGAGCCGAAGGCAGCCGCTTAACCGACTGAGCCACCCAGGGCCCCCCTGTTCACCCCTTCTTACCCCTGTTGTATTACGGAAATCTCTGCTGCATCAACCCAAACCTCCAACCCTTTCACATCCAGGAGGCCTTTCCTAAACAGCTTCTGTAAAGGATTCCTCCTAGTGCCCCAGGTCTGCGCTGGGGGCTCGGGTTCCCTGCCTGTTTATCACGCGTGGGTGTCTCATCTCGCCAACCGGAAGCTGTGCGTTCTTTATTTCTTCCAGCCTTGGGGCCGTGATGCTTTATAACCATCAGTTGCTGCAATGGTTGATTTTAATTTCAACCTGTGTCCAGGCAAGTGGATAGAGTCCACGACCGGACTTGTCCTGGGCCCTTGTACTTTGCGAGGCTTTGGGCCCACCTCCCGGCCACACCAGCTGGGCTGGAATCCGGTGCTTTACTGGGGCAAGTCTGTGATGGGCAGCAGGGATCCGGGTTTTCCCAGCCAAGCTTAACTCAGCTTTCTGTCCCCCTATAGGAGGGCATGTTTTCTGTCCTTGCTGCTCATTGGCCTCTGGGGCTGTGTGACCTGTCGCTGGAGCCCCGTGGAGGACATCTGCACAGCCAAGCCTCGGGACATTCCTGTGAATCCCATGTGCATTTACCGGTCTGCAGAGAAGAAGGCAGTCGAGGATGAGGGCGCAGAGCAGAAGATCCCCGAGGCCACCAACCGGCGAGTCTGGGAACTGTCCAGAGCCAATTCGCGCTTCGCCACTGCCTTCTATCAACACCTGGCGGACTCCAAGAATGACAACGACAATATTTTCCTATCGCCCCTGAGTATCTCCACAGCTTTTGCTATGACCAAGCTGGGGGCCTGTGACAACACCCTCAAGCAGCTGATGGAGGTACAGTCCGGAGCCTTCCTGCCTAGCCTCGTTACTGGACCCCAAGGAAACGTGTGTTGGTCTAGAGCCCAGTAGAGATGTTAGGTGGTATCCCAGTCTCTTTGTGCTTTTCCCCTTTCTCTTCCAACCCTTTATTCTCCTTTTACCCGTGTATTCATTTAGAAGACATGAGCTGAGTATTTATGCTGTGTTGGGTGCTGCTCTTGAAGGAGCTCATACACGGGGTGGCTGTTGGTCAGGGACTGACCCCACCGCATTAGCCAGGCTCCTCCACCATTTTCTTTTGGCTCCTACAGGTTTTTAAGTTTGATACCATCTCTGAGAAGACGTCTGATCAGGTGCACTTTTTCTTTGCCAAACTGAACTGCCGACTCTATCGAAAAGCCAACAAGTCCTCTGAGTTGGTATCGGCCAACCGCCTTTTTGGAGACAAATCCCTTACCTTCAATGAGACCTATCAGGACATCAGTGAGGTGGTGTACGGAGCCAAGCTCCAGCCCGTGGACTTCAAGGTGAGTTGCAGATGCGGTCCCTGACCTCAGAGTTCTTCGTTTCCCCTCGGAGGTTGAGAAGGTAGAGAAGCAGTATTTGCGGGAAGGTACTCACCCAGGGTCCAAATGAACTGTGGGCTATGAGCTATGCTAGTTGAAGGTAGGTTGGGGGTGGGGAGTGAGTAGAAGTCAGCACCCCTGGACTCTATCTGCTTGCTTGAAACTTGAGAAATCAATGGTATCTATGGCTTAGATTGTGGTGGCTTCTCTGAAAAAGTTGTATAAATAATAAATTCTTCATGTTATCCACCAAGATGTCAATCCTACAAGACACCTTATTTAATTTTTAAAAATTACAAGGGTCAAATAAAATTGGTGTATGGTGTGTGTCATATTCTCCTCTTGGAGATTCATGAAACACCTGAGCCTAGTAAGTTTTCTGAGAAGTCCTGAAACAAAGAAGTCTATTGGCTTTATTCAATCAGCATTTCTCCTTTTTTGTTTATTTATTTTCGACCACATAGGCATCCTTCCTGCCCCTCACCCCTGCATAACTCACTAGCTTCTGCACATGTCAGTAAAAATAACATTTTGTTTTCTTTTTCCCCGACTATTGTCCTCTTTTCTGTTCCTTTATTTCTGTTTCTCTTTCTTTCTCTTTCTTCTGTTAATATTTACTAACCATCTGGAAGATTCATGGTATTATACTAGATATGTAAGTTCTCCCCAATCTGGGTTAGAGTGGGAAACGGTGTGAAAGGGCAAAGGGTTGATGAATAAAATGAAATGCTGTGTGGGGAAGTAGAGAAGCCCACTGAAAGCACAGGTCTGGAGAGGTTTGTTTCCTGTTCTCCTCAGGAAAATGCAGAGCAGTCCAGAATGATCATCAACAAATGGGTATCCAATAAGACCGAAGGGCGTATCACCAATGTCGTGCCCCAGGATGCCATCAACGAGCTCACGGTCCTGGTGCTGGTCAACACCATTTACTTCAAGGTACTCAAAATGGCCCTGGAGAGACCCAGAGGACTTCCTCTTGTCCTCCAGCTCACCTGCTTTCACACCATTAGGCATTAGATAGGTCCTCTCTGAGAAAAGGTCCATGCATGGCCTGGGCAGAAATACAAATTTATTGAGAGTCTAGAACCATGTCTAGGGCCACAGCTGCTGGCCTGAAGTCCAGGGGGCCCTGGCCATGTCTCTGCCCCCAAGGAAGAGTGTACACGCTCACAAATTTAGCATGCCCAGCTGCAAACTATGTGCGGGGATGAACTCTCATACACGCGTGACCATTTTTACTATCTAGTTAACTCCATTTTGAAATCTGGAACAACATGATAGATTCTACTGACAGTCCTCGGTGATGAGATTTTCTCCATCATCTGGAGCAGCTTCAATAGTGACTCAAAATTCCCCTTGCCTGAGGCTTCTGAACCCCCCGGTGCCAGGCTCAACCCAAATTTTGCAGAGTCCTGTGATTTGACTGTGCGGATGGCTTTGTCTTTCTCAGAGTCGAGAGTTCTAAAGGCTGCTCCAAATTAAGACATGTGGGAAGGAGACTGAGGGGGAAGGTACTGGGAATAAACAGACCACTGATCCTCAGGAGGGCCACAGGTTTAAGCCGGGGGAACCTGGGGCACATTTGTCCATCGTGGGTCGTGCTCCATGGGCCCTCCCACCCCACACAGAGCCCAGGAGTTCAGCCAGTTCCTGCTGTTGCCAGCCACTCTGTCTCTTGGGGTTTCCCTCTCCCCCAGCGTGGAGAAGGTTGTAGTTACCCAATGTGTATTGCCCTTTAAGGTTTACAGAACACCTTGCTGTTTATTAGCCCTCTTTATTCTCATAAGATCGTCAACAAACCTTGGGCCTCTCAGACAGATTACTTAGCTTAAGTCCTGCCTCTTCCATTTCTGCTGTGTGAACTCAGGTGAGTTACCGGAGACCTTTCTGTGCATCTCTAAAATGGGAATAATGATGCACCTCCCTCACGGGTTTCCTGACCCTTGACCCCTGAATAAGTGAGTGCAGCTGATTGGGGTACCTGGGTGGCTGAGTTGGTTAAGTGCCTGCCTTCGGCTCAGGTCATGATCCCGGGGTCCTGGGATCGAGCCCCGCATCAGGCTCCCTGCTCAGCGGGGAGCCTCCTTCTCCCTGTCCCTTTGCCTGCCTCTCTGCCTACTTGTGCTGTCAAATAAATAAATAAAATCTTAAAAAAAAAAAAAGTGAGCGCAGCTGAAATGCTTAGAGCAGTGCCTGGCACACCGTAAGCATCTCGCCAATACTAGCCATCTCCAGCTCCTAATTTTACAGGTGAGGACCCACCACTCCAAGAGTTAAATGACTTGTCCCCAAATCAACCAGCCAGAATAGGACAAGGAGTGGTAGTTACAACTCAGAAATTTCAAAGGAATGTCTTGTATCCCAGGGTCCCTCCGTTTTTGAGCAGGAAATTAGCCAGGACTCACCCTCTGCCAGGCAGGGCTCCAGGACAACCCCCTGGGTTATTATCTGTGTCTGGCCTTTATTTATCAGGGGTGGAACCCAGCCCTTTGGAGGATGACCCTTGAGAAAGAGGCGGGTGGGAGGCAGAAAGCAAAAGACAATTAGATTTAAACTCAAAAAGATGCTTGTGAAAAGGCCAGTAGATTGTTCACGGTTTTAGTTTTTTATTTTACTGGTTATAAAGCAAATAAATAGCCACTGCTAAAAATCCGGGAAATACAGAAAAGTTCACAGAAAGAAAAAAAAAACATAATTCCATCACTCTGCCATAGTCACTGTAAGCCTTTTCATGCATAGCCTCTAATTTTTTCTCCTACTAATTCTGCCTGCATTTTGGGGTGATAAAATAATGTGACTATTTCCCATGTCAGCAACCCACCTATGGAGGGTTTTGGTCTTCTCGCTGTGATTCTCCCACCTGCTCTCTCCACCGCCTCCCCTCCCCACCCCGCCACCCCCAGGGCCTGTGGAAGTCAAAGTTCAGTCTCGAGAACACAAGGAAGGAACTGTTCTACAAGGCTGATGGGGAATCGTGTTCGGCATCCATGATGTACCAGGAAGGCAAGTTCCGCTATCGGCGAGTGGCCGAAGGCACCCAGGTGCTCGAGCTGCCCTTCAAGGGCGATGACATCACCATGGTGCTCATCCTGCCCAAGCCCGAGAAGAGCCTGGCCAAGGTGGAGCAGGAGCTCACCCCGGAGATGCTGCAGGAGTGGCTGGATGAGATGGCAGAGACCCTGCTGGTGGTCCACATGCCCCGCTTCCGCATTGAGGACAGCTTCAGTGTGAAGGAGCACCTGCAAGACATGGGCCTCGTGGACCTGTTCAACCCTGAGAAGTCCAGGCTCCCAGGTTAGCCCAGGAAGGGCGTTAATCTTCCCTCGGTCCCCCATGGCGGTCCGAGCAAAGGTGAAAGAATTGGAGAAAGAGTAGAAAAGAGCAACGGGTCAGGAGTAGAGCAAGGGTTCTACTGCTAACTCAGGGAGACCCCTTCCTTTCCAAGGTCTGGCTCCTCTTCCGTATCCTGGTGACTTTGCGCCTGGATGTCCAGGGACCCAGCTAGCACTGGAATGCTTGGAGACTGTAACTGGTGTGGGGGATGGGACCAAGTAGAGAAGACCTCGAAAAGACATCAGAATTCAAAGCAAAGACATGATTCAGAGCTGGGGACATCTTGGTCCCACACAATAGGCATAGCTGACATTGAACAGCCTGATATTCCAAAGGGCTCATGAGTTTTCCCTCAAGTCACTTGGACAACAGATGCGGCCAACCTTCCCCAGCTGTGAGACTTCAGCAAGTGTTCTGCGGTCTTGGTTTCTACAGTCTACCATTCTTTAAAAATATGCATTAAAATATCTTTTTACAAAAGAAGTTTACAATGTCAGGTAATTGAATTTACCTTTAATAGGCTGCTTATGAAACTAGGTCTAACCAGGGGCCCCTGGCTGGCTCAGATGGAAGAGCATATGGCTCTTGATCTCAGGGCCATGAGTTTGAGCCCCACATTGGGTGTAGAGATTACTTAAATAAAAGTTGAAAAAAAAAATTAAACTAGGTCTAACCAACTTCTCTCTTGAAAACGTTGCCAGACTGGAAAGAAAGACATTCCTACTAGGTGGGGTGAGTTTTTCTTTAAGAACAGAGTCCCCTGCCCCCTTCTAAGAGCTGAGGCATGAGATTACATTCAGAGGAGCCAGGCTGAAAAAGCCTAAAGGACTTTATTCTTCTAAACATGCATTTATTTAGGGAGTATCATTAGGTGAGGGTTCAGGATTTTTATTTAAAAAAAAAAAAAAAAGCCCCAAAGGACCTCTTAATTCAAACTGAATTCCTTTTTGTGGGTTGAAGCTGACTTTTTCCCATTTCACAGAACCTTCTCTGGTCTTCCTTCTAGGTATTATTGCAGAGGGCCGGAGCGACCTCTATGTCTCACAGGCATTCCATAAGGCCTTTCTTGAGGTGGGTACACCTTCCTTTGCTGTCACTTCCTTTTTCAGTACATCAATATCTCATGTGATTTATAACTAGGGACTTCTTGCTCTGCTGGGTCTATGGTCTTCCAGCAGGTGTGTGAACAGCAGGACACAACTGGGGACAAAGGCATGTTTCCAGTGTCCCTCAAACCCCAGATCTGTAGGCCCCTCCTCCATGAGGCCTCCCCAAGACAGCCCTCCCCTGAAGCCTTCATGGTCCCATTGTTCCACCCTCTCTCCCACTACTTCTCCTGAAGCAGGTCAAACATGTAGGGGGAGGGTGACACAGGAAAAGAAGCCAACAAAGGCTACAAAGGCTTCAGAAGGAAGGCAGAATAATTGTCACGTGAGTGAGGAGATGCAATAGCTTGAAAAAGAAAGGTTATAGTTTGAGAACATAGTGTTGTTATTATAATTCCAACAAAGGAGATCCAGGAGAGTGGGCACTCATGGAAACCCAGGGAGGAGTTTTAAGGAAACAGAAAGCATCTAGTAACAAGATAGAAAATTGGCCATAGGTTACCATTCCCTGAGGAATTTAGACAGAACAGTGGGAGCACAGGCCTGATTGTGACAGCTGAAGAGTAAATGGAGGGTAAAGAAGAGGAGCTGAGGAGAGTGGATCGTGTCCTAAAGTGTGTTCTAAAGAACTAGAACTCTACGTTGCAAAGAACAAAGTTTGGTGCTCAAGTAAATGTGTATCCTCTTCTTGGGAAATTAACAATGCACACTAAGAAGCCCCACAGCAGAAAAAACTGGTTCAATATTGCTTAACTTACGGGAGGGAAAGTGGTGGGGGGGGCGATGGGTGAAATAGGTGTTGGGGATGAAGGAGCGCACTTGCGTGATGAGCACCAGGTAATGCATGCAATTGTTGAGTCACTATATTGTGCACCTAAAACTAATATAACACTATACATTAACTGACTGGAATTAAAATAAAAACTTAAAAAAATATATTGCTTAACCTAGTGTTTCCCCAACTCAGGTGCCTGTGGAACCCTTTACTAGAGTAATAGCCATGTAAAGCCTGTCAAAATTCTGGTTCTCAAATACTGAACTATGGACCAGTAGCACTAGTTCAGTGGAGAGCTTGACTCTTGGAGAATCCAGGATGGGGCCTGAGAATCAGCATATTTACAAAGCTCCTCAGGAGATTTAGATCCACAACCAGGTTTGGGAAGCACTGTCCTCTGGGGGAACCAGGCTATGAGGAAAAGGGGATGGCCACTGTTAGAGATGGTCACAGGATTGAGGAAACCGCAAAGAAAGAAGGTTATGGTCAAAGGAGAAAGGTTTCAGAGCATGGTGCTGATAAATACAGTGGCAGAGTCCAAGCTCAGTGAGAAAATGTAGTCAGGAGGGAAGCGGAGGGATTAAAGAGCAGAAGGAAGGCAGAATAATCGTCACGAGAGTGAGAAGATTCAATAGCTTGAAAAAAAAGGTTATAGTCTGAGAACATAGTGTCATTATTATAAGTTCAAAGGTAGAACAAGTCTGAGAGATGGCAAGTTCAAGGCATGGCCATGGGACTGGTTTGCTTAAGTAGAGTGAAGGTAATGCTCATTGGGGTTGATGAGATGAAAGGAAGGGGAGTTAGTGTGTTGACTGGGCCTCCTACCAAGATGGGTAATTGTCTGCATCAAATGATAGCAGGAGTTAGGGTGGTCAGAAAGGCTGTAAGTGAGGTGCGCAAATCCTCAACGTGGGGGTATAATCCATAGGACCACAGATGTCAGTGATCTGCAGGACAACAGCAAGAGCAGAGGCCTGTATCTTCAAGGTATCGAGATCAGACCTAGGGGTTTGACAGGAGTACTGAATTAGTGGTTTGGGAAGTTGTACGAAAGTCACTACTGACCCCCTTCTACCATATGGATTATGAAGGTTAGTACACTTAGGAAGACGGCGAGGGAAGGTATGTCCTCAGTGTGTTAACTCTGAGTGAAAAATCCTCCTCTAAGGACCCTAAATAGAATAAGTCAACTCAGACACCCTTGAGGGCTTTGAGTTACCATTAGGAAGAAGCAGAGGTTTGGATTCATTTTATCCCCCTTAGCCCACTAAACAATGGTGCAAGGTTCTTCCAAAGCTCTTGGAACAAAGTTGTTTTCCTTGGAAACCTTGGGAACCCAATATCCAGGACCCCAGCTGATTGTAGATCTCCTGGGAAGCCATTAGAAGCCAGTGTCTGATTTGAATAAGATGATCCTGGTCTTGCAAAAGCTCCAGGCCGCTCACAAATCCAGTCCTAGAATGACCATGAAACAGCACAGGGAGGCGGGGGCATAGGATGGTAGGGAAGCAGGGAAGAAGAGTGACAGGGAGAGAACACCTTCAACCAGCTCCACAAAGCTCAGGTCTCTGAAGTGCTTTCATTAAGAGACAGGGACAGAGTTTTGGTGATATTCTGGGTCCCCAAGCAAAATTTTCTGAAGGTGTCTCTCTGGCAGTTCAGCTTATCAGCAATTGAAAATACCAATGTGTCAGACCATTACTCCAAAAAATACTCACCTCATTCAGCCAGAGGACCCTTGTCTTTTCATAGGCCCAATGTCCTGAGTAGCTGCTTGGGGTAGTTCTATCTGGGATCTTGATGCCGCAAGAGTGAAACTATCTCAACTATAGAGTTCTGATCTTGAGTCAAAGTCTCTTTTAGCATCTGGGACAAGGTAACCCTCCTGCCCTACCCGGCACGATGGGGCCGGCCAGAAACGTGGCAGCCTGCTGTACATGCGCATTCCTGGCTCAGGAGTTACCTGAACGGAGCCCTGGCTCTTACGCAGCATGAGGCTTGGAGGAACACAGGTGCTTACCTCAGTGTTCATCGGATGAAACAATGAGTAAAAGTTGCGTTCTAGTGGGAACGCCACCTGACCCGAGTGTACTTTTCCCTGGAAGACAGCATCCTGAGGAAGTGCTGTGTCTGTGCGTGCCTTCCCGCCTCCGAGGAACTGCAGGGCAGGTAATGCAGCCGTTGTGTTTCCTCTGTGGTCTGCAGGTCAACGAGGAGGGCAGCGAAGCTGCAGCAAGTACTGTCGTCAGCATCGCCGGCCGTTCGCTGAACCCCAGCAGGGTGACCTTCAAGGCCAATAGGCCCTTCCTCGTTCTCATAAGGGAGGTTGCTCTGAACACTATCATCTTCATGGGCAGAGTGGCCAACCCTTGTGATCACTGAAGTGTTATTTTTTGCACCTCTTCCTCTTTTGGTTTGTGACAGAAGTAAAAATAAACACAACTACTCCCAGTTATGAATGGATTTTGCCACATGAAGTGAAGACAAGGGGAGGAGAAATGGATAGAGATGCCGGTGGGCATTTGGTCAAGCGAGCACTTTCAATTGCTCTCTACCAGTGAGCACACCTGGGTCAGGAAAGTGAAGGAGGGGGCCGCCTGGCTGGTTCAGTCAGCTAAGCCTCCCACTCTTGCTTTCAGCTCAGGTCATGATCTCAGGATCGTGAGATCGAGCCCCAAGGCCCACGTAGGACTCTACACCTGGCAGAGTCTGCTTCTCTCTCTCCCTCCGCTCCCCCACCTCCACACTCGCTTGTGCACATGCTCTCTCTCTTAAAATAAAGAAATAAATAAAATCTAAAAAAAAAAGTGATGGAGGGAAATACGTTACTGTTGCATCTTGAAAGATGGTAGGATCGTAGGCATGCCAAAAGGGCAGGGGGAGGCTGAAATGTCCGTATTCCCATCATACTAAAAAAAAAAAAAAAAAAAAAAAAAATCCAAAAATTGTAAAAGAATTAATCTCTATAAACAGAAAAACCAGACAGTCAAATCTGAGTATTAAACCATTTAATTCTCAAACCACTCACATGCATAATGTTCTTTTACACAGTGTTAAAATAAAGAGGAAAATGTATTTTTATACAAACAGAATTTCAAGTATACATTAATAGACTTTTCAAATTACTAACCAAGTTGCTAAGATTTCATTCACATTGTTCTTAAAGCTGTTCAACGAGAAAGCTTTTGCTAAACTGCTTTAAATATGTTTATATAAACCCATATCTTCACTCTTTCTCTGACTCTCCCTCCCCCCAACCCCAGTCTCGGCCCGCCCGCCTGCCCTCCCCCCTCCCCCGACACGACAGGGCTTCTGGGGCTCTAGGAGACATGCAACCCCACCAAGGACTACTGGCTTGTCATCAGGGGAAGGACAGAATCTACAGGAGGAGAGACTGAGAACACCTGTCAAATTAAGGGAGAGAACAAATCTAATATTTAGAAATGACACAAATCAGAATCGTATCTTATAGCCTTTATATTTTCACCTTTTTCCTTAAAGAAATCTCAGCCTCCCACAAAACCACCTAGAAGTTTCTGACAATTTGGTAGCTGAGCAAATAACTTAATATTGGGTATTGTCCCCAGGGAAACTTCTGCAATCAGGGTAGGCATTTTAAACGTCTTCATTTTTGGTTTCTTTTTTTCCCTTTGGCAGGGGGTGGGGACCGCTTAAAAATGGGTAGGATTTGTGTTGACACTAAGGAATTTGGTTAATTTCACAGGGTCTGGCAGGAGTTCTCCCTCCTCACCTCTCCTCCTGAAGTAATCTGGCTTTCAGGGCCAGGAACAGCCATTCTCCTTAGGAATTAAAGTGCATTTGTTCAGTAAAAGGGGGGTGAGGGGAGGTGCGGTTTACATTTAAGTGATAATGATTAAAAGAGGGTGGGGTGAGAAAATCCTATTCCTATATATAGGTATTTATAATTAAGGTCGTAATAAAAACAGATATTCTCTAAGGAAATAAGATGCATGAACCCAGGCCAGCACCCTCAGAGGTGGAAGAGCGCTCGCCTGGCTCACTGACCTTTCGGAGGCATCTTTATTAATGGTGTAATAGCTTCAGATGAAAGACACAAACCTCAAATGTTTGTTTTTTCAAAGGGAAAAAACAGACTGGTAGGTTCTTATAGTTTAAAACTCTACCTCATTCCCTTTCAGGGATAACATTTTAGAAATTGATTGTCTGTTTTAATATGAATCTTTGATTAGCAAGTTGTGAAAAAAATGTTAAGTTTGTCGCTTACAAATATTACGGTAGCCTTTAAAAACACAGGAAGGGGGGCATGTTGATTCTTGCTAATGGTATCAGCTGAGGGGAAGAGAAATTGTCCTATAATCTCTTTATTTGATAGCTACCACCAGGACCTTATTTTCTGACTATTTTCCTTGAAATGCTTTACTATTTCTTGGGGGACAAACCCAAGAGTTTTCCAAAGAGAAGTAAATGCTACATTATTAGCTGTATGAAGAAGTGATGGGCTCAAGATGAGAAGGGGGGAAATGGTCCTGGGTTCTGGCCTCTGAGTCCAGTGTGATCTGCTTTTCACAGTGACCAGTGGGAAGGCACAGTGCCAGGGACAGGTAGATGGGGGACAGTTGTCACCCACCATATAAGCACCATAGAGAACAGGTGGACAGATTTCTTTCAGACCATGTCCATCTGAAGGAAACCACATTTCAGCTACCTTGATTTTTCTATCTTTAAACCCTCAGCCTTCTCTTCTCCTCCCAGGGGCAGAGCGTGAGTGAGTCCCAACCCTGAATGACGAGGAGCCAGGAAATCTAAGTGCTCTTCCAAATGTACTTCTCCCTTTACTCACTTAGGCTAACATGCCAAAGATGGAGAGTTCTGGTTTTAAGATTCCTTAAAGGAGAGGCCATTGGTTCCTTACTGAATTGGCAGATCTCTTCAAGTTCTGCCATTAGATCACAAAATAACGCAATGGGCTAAAACTGTGAACACAGACCAGAGCAGATAAAAAAGTAATGGACTGAGAACACATTTCTCTAGTTTGGGAATGTTTTTCTTTTGTTGAGTAGGGGGAGGGTGGTGAAACTGTGATCAGACTAGCATTTGTGTAGCTGTTTCCTAAAGGACTCCTTAGAAGTTGAAGAGGAATCAGCAAGCCAATCCAGTAGGGCAGACAACTTGACTGAACTTCACAGTTCTGACAGAGAATTCCTGTAGGGCATTTGTTTCATTCCTTGCTTAAAATATAGAACAAGTTTATATATTTTGTACCATTACTGACCCATCCTCCTCGTCTACTCCCCCCCCCCCGCCCCCCAGGAATCATAAAATCCAGTGCAGTGTGATTTGCATAAAGTTCAACAATGGTTCACAGTACTCCACAACCCTCTTCAGTATGACACCCTAACGCGTTACTCTCTGGATGCATGCAAGTCCCAAAGGCTACTGTTTTTCTATTCCACCCCATATTGAGAAGCCTTCATAAATTTTCTAAGGCATAGGAGGCATTTTCTCTAAAAGACATTGCAGCATTACATGCAATGTAAAGAGCCAGGCCTCCAGGTTATTTTAATGAAATGTCAAGGCCTGATGCTAATTCAGTCCTCTGCACTAGCCAATCTTTCCATCTAACCGATTTTTCTTCTTGAACACACCGTGACCTATTTGAAATTTAAAGTATCAATTATTGTAGGCAATATATGAATGAAAATTTCTATGGTGCCCAGAATTCTCTCAGAAAGAGACTGCTATATCTGAACTTGCTCTTAAACAAAAATTTCTATCAGGAACGAGAAATCACTTGGTAGCTAGTCAGTTTGAATGGGGTTGGGGGGTTGGTGTCTCATTCGTAAGGTAATCAAACAGTTCTCCCCTTCCCATTACCGTGTGCGAAGTTGCCACGGGCAGGGCAGGCATTTTTACTACCTGGGATGGGGAGAAAGATAGGGAACCTCACTTGGAATTACCAGGTTAGGTCTCTGACATCCTGGAATAAAGATACTAAAATGACTCATTTCACATTTCATGTAAAATTCAGAAACATTTAAGCCTTAGCTAGTGCATTTCATTCACAAAGCAAACACAAAAAACTCCAAAAAACAAACAAAAAACCCCAAGGAAAAGTGAAAGTCACTTTACATTGAAATCCCACTTAGAAGACAGGCTAAGAGACAAATAATCAAATGTATCACCATCACCCCCAGGAAGGATCCTTCTCTTTTTCCATTAACTTTAATAATGCTTCTTATTTTACAAATAGAAATCATCCTAGATGGGGTGGGCTTGGCCCTTTTAGTAAGTTCAAGTGCTCTATTTTAGCTACTAGCAGAGTTGAGAAATCTCCACTCAAATCATGTACGCAAAGAAAAGAGGATTCTAGAGACCAGACTTTGAAAATCTGTTTTGCTTACTTATGCACACCTTGTATTTGGTATAGAGACGAAACTGGATGGATGGTAACATCTCTCTCCAGAATTACTTTGAGGACGAATGGATGATCCATTTTACCACCTGAGCCTTGGCCCACTTTAAACTCAGAGCCATGCTGGGCTAGCAATAAAGATATCTTATGACACAAAAAGAACTAGACTGAGGTTATCCTGCTGCAGGCCACTCAAGATTACCTGGCCAGTGATTCTCAACCTTGGCTGCCCACTAGAATCAGCTGCGGGGCTTTTAAAGCCCAAGCTGCACAGCACACCAATTCAACATGAGGGTCCAGCAGGGGCCCCAGGCAACAGTCATTTCTTACACGTCCCACGTGATTCTAATGTGCAGCCAAGATGGAAAACTCCTGGCTTAGGTCAACTGGCTCTGTAATAAAAAGCATTCAGGCCAGTATTCACTTAGGCCAGAGGGAAGAAGGGTATAGGACTCCATGCTTACTCTCAGATCCACAGATTTACTATGCGCCCCAAAGACAGGCCTAGGCATTTCTCACCTTTTTGTTTTGTTTTTTAAATAAATCACTTTGGCTGCAACAGGTCACACTGCCAACAGTAAATTTCGGATTTAGGTAAGTCTGCATTTAAGTATGTGTTATAGGAAAACACCTGGGGACAGGCCTAGAACAGACTTGGCACAAAAAGATAAGCCAGAGGGAAGAAGTTTCCTAAGCAGGAGTTAATTCCTGAGTCTAGGATATTAGCATGGCTTATAAAATGACAATTATTCTACAGTTAGAATAACAATAGCTGGGCAGCTCTTCCCCTGTGCTTTAATAAACACACACACACACACACACACACACACACACACACACACACAGAAAAGAAAGGAAGAGAACCAACAGCTGTGGTGAGTAGACTCACATGATTTCCTGCCTCAGCTCCCTCCAGGACTTACGCTGTACTCAGGCAGAGGTGACTTAGATCAGTGGCCTCCTAGGAGTAATGCCTGTCTCATTAATTGGAATTTCACACTGTATCATCATTTGCCCTTCCCAGTCACCAGGACAGCAAATACTGATCAGCTAGTACCTAAACAC